AACAGTGAAGAGAGAGCGATTAAGTAACTTGCTCAAGGCTACAGTAATGGAAGTGATATCTAAGGCAAGCAATCTGGCCAAAGAGCCACTATGGGAGAGTGATCAACAGTTTAGATGTACCATTTCTAAATTATAAATACAACCCTACAAATCATCATGTGTTTTATCTCCATTTTACTCAACTTTATAGGTGAGGGACTTAAGCTCAGTAATACATCAAAGTTGTAGGTGGGAAGTAAGGTTGGAAATAACCCTGAGGGGAAGAGTATCCTGTGACTCCTGTGACTAAAGCAGCCATCCTTATGCACAGGGATCCATTCTAAGACCTCCAGTGGATGGCTGAAACTGCAGATATTATGGAACCCTCTCTATATAGCATGCTTTTCCTATTTGTACATACCTATGATAAAGTTTAACTTACAAATTTGGTTCAGTAAAAAGTTAACAAAAAAATATATAGAACAACCAGAATAACCATTCTGGAATAAAATTACCAGCATCATGGTCTCGCACTTTGGGGCCATTGAGTAAAATAAATGTTACTTGAAAACAACCATTGTGATATCTGAAGTCAATCTGATTACAGAGGTGGCTACTCTGTGATGATATCTGGGTAATGTATACAGCATGGATACTCTGGACAAAGGGATAGTCACATCTCTGGCTGGACCCAGTAGGACAGTGAGAAGTTTCATAATGCTCCTCAGAATTGAACTCAATTTAAAATTTATAAATTGATTCTTTCTGGAGTTTTCCATGTATCATTTTCAAACCATAGTTGACCATGAGTAACTGAAAGTTGAAACCTCAGATAGAAGGAGTATTATAACATTGGTTTAAATCACTAGTACACAATAGAAACAAAAAGCAGATTGATTTCTCTTTCCTTTTGTTATTGTTTTAAATTTTCTAGAAATACTGCACCCTTTTTTTTCACCAGTATCTAATGTGGGCCCCTCTCTCTGCTCGTCCATCCCGCCCCAGCCCATATAAATACTTGGCATGTCTCTGGCTCAGAAAACTACGACCAAGGTTACATAGCTATTAAGCATTAGATCTTATATGTTCAACGAGGCTCACCTGGTTTCAAAGAGCATTATAGTATGAAGTAGGAAGGCATTGTGTTTGAATATTTCCCATTCATTAATTCATTAGAATCTCTTGGGAAGCTTAAAAAACAACAGTAATGCCCAAACCTGTCCTACAGACTGATTTAATCAGAGTGCCTGTGGGTGAAAATTTGCATCAATATTTTAAAGCTTGCTACATTTATTCTAAAGTGCACTCAGAATTGAGACTTTTAGCAAGCTGGTAGAATTTCAATCTGGAATTCATTTCTTTATCTTACAAATCAATCTCTAGGTATAGCTCCTATTTAAAGACAGTCATGCATTGAATTACCTTCCAAGCTGAATTCTCAGCCTTGAGAGAAAGTAGCAGGCTGACCCAAAAAATTTGAGTATCTAGAATTAGCATGCAATATCTTCATGTGCTAATAGCCCTTCTTGATGGAGAGACTTCCTAGATTCTTAAAAGAAAATATAAAATGTGATACATTCAGGAGAAGCAGCAAAGTGTAAACAGGGCAGAGAATTTCTTCTTCCAAAGACAGCCTTGTGCTGATTGCTTTCATGTCCAACACAATTTCACAGTGTACTGAGTCCTTCTAGTCTCTATTGGTGAGGCTCTTTGTAAAGTTCTGTGTCTAAAAATATCTCAGGACCTTCCCCTATGTTCAAGCCAGAGGCTGAGACACCTTGGACATTAATATTACCTTTAATGATCCACTTAATTTGAACAATTTCTGACCATCCATGCAGGCCATCAGAGCAGGTGGTAAAACCAGAGGAAATCAGCCAGGGCCAGAACTGAGAATCATTAAGAACATTGTAAGAACACGTACCTTAAATTCCTGGCTCCTCAGAGCTCTTCTGATTCAAGATCTCCAGGAACAAAGAGATTTAAGTTTGCAGAGCTCCCACAGTGTGCGTCCGTTGTGCCTAATTTGGTTCCCATTGTGGCAGAGATCTTGGGCTATAGTGTGACTGGAAACTGCACCCAACACCAGAAGAGTTGTCCATCAAACAATGCCCCCTTCAAGTCAAACAACCATGGCCCAGGATCTCCATGAGTCCAATCAATTGCAGCAGGAGGTTCTTTGGGGGGACCCCAGGCCCCATTCAGGTAACTCTGGGTATGGAGCATGCATGGGCACAGCTGAGTCCAAGTACTTCACTGCCACAGACAAACGTGGGCTTCAAAGTCAGCCAGTTTGGAGTCTGTTCTTGCCTCTGCTACTTTACCAGCAAGGAATATCAGCATCATTAACTTCATCTTCCCCAGCCTAATACTTACACCAGTGAATTGGGAAGAAAAACCCCCCTCCTATCTATGGCAATGATGTACTGTGCCAGTCCTGAACCTTCTGTTCCTCAGGTCTATCCTCATGCTTCCACTGGTCTACTCTGTACAGTGGGGGGCGGGGGGGGGCTGATTCCTGTAGGCTGTGATTCTCAGCTGACTCCTGGTTACCCCACTATAGACTGGACATTGGGAGAAGGGAGAAGCCATGGCATCCACTCTTTCCATATGACTTGATGGCATCCCTGCAGTGGCTTCTCTATCGTGGTTCTTGCTCCCACAAAATAGTTCCAACACGATTCTAGCTTTCATCATGTAACTCTCATCCTGTGGCCTCCAGTTACCTCATGTACTCCTGCTGACTTTCCAGCCCAAGGTAGAAATGGACTCCTGGCATATCCCCTCTCTGGGTGGCTTCATTTGTTCCTCCACTGTCAATTCTCTGGTTTATTTTCCCTCTCTCTCAAGCATTTAAGTGGTTCCCTTTCTTTTCTTTTTGCTAATTAGAGTCTTAGATTATAATACTCCAAGTATAGAACTTAGTACTATTTATACCCAATATATTAGAACTATTATAATTACGTATTATTAGCCACTGTTTATTCCCCAGGTGCCTCCTGCCGTGGTCCTGTGTATGAGTACTCAGTGACAAGATAGCTGAGTGCAGACATATCTGTTTGAGCAGCCCTCCAACATATAAAATAATAATAACCATCAGCATTTATATAATGCTTACTCTGTGCCAGGCCTGATTCTAATTGCTTTGTTTAAATGAACTCATTTAATCTTCACCATAGCCCTGGGAGGTAGACACTATTTTCTTTGCTTTGAAAACAAGGCCAAAAAAGGCACTTGTCCACGGTCATAGAACTAGTAGGTGACAGCAGCAAAACTCAACCCTGGGATGGCTGGTACCAGAAACTGCTCCCCAACCTGTATTTCATATTAACTCTCAACATGACAGCCTGGGAACCAGGAGAAACAATCCATTTTCACACTCAGAGCCCACTAGTGTTCAGCTTTGAAACCTCTTGTGTGAGGGGCCCTTGTCTCTCGAAGTTTCAGACCACCATGAACTACGATGCCTTGAAAGTGCTCCCTGCCCAGCCTGGCCCACGAAGGCCCTCCATCTAGCTGAGAGGTGCTTGGCATCTGCTCCTTCTTTTCTACTTTTAATAGACTTCTCTACTGGAGCCTGACCACGAAAGAATCTATAAGCCATTAACTGGAGCTATATTAAGCCTATAAAAGCCAATTGCTAACATCCCAATGACCTTATTATAAATTGGTCTATCAGATGGTTTTACTCATTCACTAATTAACTAAAAGCAAAAGGGAACTAACATTTATTGAGTGTTTCCTCTGTGTCCAGTCAGGCGCCAGAGGCGCTGCATATAACATCTCCTTTCCTTTTTATCCTCCTAGCAACCCACGAGGGTTGATTCCACTTTACAGACAACTTGGAGACACTGAGTGATATAAGAGTGATGCAGTCACTTAAACCCTCATCTGCTGACCCCATTGCACCACAGTCTTCTCTGAGGCAGGATAAAAATGCTGTCTAAATGGGAGCTGTTGAAGTGTGGTCCCAAAAGGCATAATTATGGCATTTGGGGTGCTTCCCATGAGATTTTCGAATGCCTCTGGAGCCCACAGTTTCCCTTGGTGTAGCAGGAATGTCTTCCAGAGTTGTCCTGCGTGTACAGCTGATAACTATATCCTTGATTTCACACAGCCTCATACTGAGGGGACCTGCACTCAAGGAGCAGCAGCTAATGACCAGAGTCAAGGAGCCTGACCCACACTTGAGCATGACATAGATCAAGATATTCAGGATTTTGAACGGATGCTGTGATGGAATTCAGCATTTGCTGCCTTGGCAGGGAAGTAAGAGAGATGCAAATTGTTGGAGTCAAAAGGCAGAAGTGGAAGGCAGCCTCTACTTACCTCCCCCAGGGATCCCCACCCCCTGGAATCCCACCCTCCTACAATTCCCTCTCCTTGTGGGCTGACCTCTGACTTGCTTCTGATGAATAAGATGACAGAAGGCTTACAGAAGACTCTGGCTTATGTCGTGCTCATTCTGTCCTGCTCATTCTCGCCTGTGTAGTCTGATGGAACCCACTCTGTGCTGTGAGCAGCCCTTTTGGAGAAGCCCATTGTAGCAAGGAACTGAGGGAGATCTCAGGCCAACTGCCAGCAAATAAACATGTATTGAGTACTTACTAAAATTTTAACCACCCACATTAGAGATTTATTACCAGATTTAATCTTCCCAACAAAGCTTTATGTTTATCTTCCAACACTCAGCCTAAAAATCCCTCACCTCGCAAAACTTCTAAGTGTCACAGCTGAGGATTTGAACACAGTCCCTTCAGCCTGCAAAGCCAGTGCTCTTTGCAGTAATCACATTGTTGGAAGATGAAACTGCTCTCCGCCTACTTCCACGGCAGCTGCTTTGCTGCATTATTTCATTTAGTTTAAGTTGATCAGCAGACAATAAGAGAGAGAGATTGTGCCTATGTTTGAGAAACAAGGTAAAAGACAGAGAAGGAATTTGTTTAAAAGGAGAAAAGGACACAGTTCTACATTCTCTCATTCTACATTCTACATTCTCTTCCTACCCATGATGGGTTTCAAACCACACACGTAGACTTCCTCCCCATCTAACTTGGTTTGGCTCTTTATTTGTAGATGAACAAGCAGATCAATTCCATATTGGGGAGAACTCTATAGCCTGTGCTTGGCTGAAAAGGAAAACAATCTCTGAACATTGTGGGAGGGACAAGCAGAGGGGAGCAAGAGCAGACCCAAAGAGCACTGCCTTGAAACCTCGGAACCTATACCAGCAGAATGGACATGAGGAAAAAATCAGTATGAAGTAGGTCTTTGTTCTTGGTCCAGTTTTAAACATTTCCTCCCCAAGCTGAGCTTCTATTCTCTGTTATCATTGCCTTTCTTCCCAAGGGACTTTTCTCAACCATGCTCCAGCTCCCAGCTCCCTAGACCAATGCTGGGTGCCATACTGTGTCTTCCAACTTCATTGCAAGCATAGACCATAACACATTTTGGAAAAATGTGTACTTTTTAAAAAGGTGCCTAAAATATTTCATCTCAAGTTCAAGGCTGTAGGAAGTATAATTTCAAGGATATCATACAAGATTTTTTGGCATCAAATGTGCTTTTTAATTAAAAGGCATGAATTAATGACAGATTTAGATGCAGTTGTAAGCAATGAGAAAAGAGAGATCTTGTGTACTCTCTAAAGGTCACTACAGCGGTAACACATTGTGAAACTATAACACCATCTCCAATCAGGATATTGATGCAATGAAGACTCAGAGTGTTTCCAGCACCACAGACCCTCTCTCGCACTATCTTTAAAGGCAGGTGCACTTCCTTCCCTGCCCTCAGCCTGTGGTAGGTAGCCTGGACTGCCATAACAAAGCTCCAAGAACTGACCGGGTGGCGTAAACATAGAAATTCATTATCATGCATTTCTGGAGGCTGAAGTCCAAGATCCATGTGTCAGTAAGGCTGGTTCCTTCTGAAGGGAGCCTTCTGTTTTCATCTTCTAGCTTCCAATAGCTTGCTGTCCATCTTGGGTATTCCTTGACTTGTAGATCTCTGTATTCCACGTGGTATTCTTCCTATAAATGTGTGCCTCCAAATTTCCTCTTTCTAGAAGTGTACCAGTCATATCAGATGAGTAAATCACCCTACTCCAGTTTGAACTCATCTTAACTAATTATATTTGCAATGACACCATTTCCAAATAAGACTATATTCTCGGGTATTGGGGCTTAGGAATTCCACCTATAAATGTTGGAGAGGTATAATTCAACCTATACTCCCTCTCTCTGTTCTCAACTTCTAGCAACTGCTAATATGTTCTCTATGTTTATAATATTGTTATTCCAAGAATGTTAAATAAGTGGAATTTTATAGTAATATGGGTACTTTTGGATATTACTTTTTTTCCTTTAAATTTCTTTGGAGGTTCATCTAAGTAGTGGGGAACATTAATAGTTGATTCCTTGCTTTTGCTGAGCAGTAGGGTCAGTATGCTGAGAATTTTACAATATGCCACAGTGTTTTTAACCTTTCCACTCTTGAAGGATACCTGGGCTTACTCCAATAATTTTGGCCATTACAAATGAAGATGTGTATGATTTGTATACAGATTTGTGTATGAACATGAATTTTCATGTTCATTTATCTGGGATAAGCTCAGGAAGGAAATCAGTGGATCATATAGTAGCAGTGTGTTTAGTTTTATGAGAAGCTGACAATTTTCCAGAATGATGGTAACATTTTACATTTCCAATTGCAAGGTATGACTGATTTGACTTGTCTGCAACTTTGCGAGCATTTGTTGTTACAAGTTTTTGTTTGCTTGCTTATTTTTAAATTTTAAGTGTTCTGAAAGCTCATTGTGGTTTCAGTGTGGCTTGATGGTGAAATGTCAAATATCTGGTTCTCTGATTCTTATAATGAAATTCTCTTCATGTCTTTTGCCCATTTTCTAACTGTATTATTTGCTTTTTTGAAAAAAAATACTTCTGAGCTTTGAGAGTTCTGTATATACTCTAGATACAAGTCTTTTGTCAGATATGTAGTTTGCACATATTATTCCCCGTGTAGCTTATCTTTTTACCCTCTTCACTTGGATTGTCTCATAGTAGAAGTTATTAATTTTGATGAGGTCTAATTTGCTGGTTTTCCTTTTTGTAAATTGTGTTTTTACTATCAAATCAACTTTGCCCTAAATCTTAAAAAATTTTTCTTAGTTTTTGAAAAGCTTTATCATTGGTAATATTATGTTTTACATGTAAATGCATGATCTGGAATTACTATATAATCTCTGAGGTTTAGAGCAAAGATTTTTTGTTTTGGTTTTTTTTTCAATTGAATATTCAATTGTTCAGTAACATTCTTGGGTAGATGGATGACTTCTTGCATCCTATATAATTTGTTGACTGTATTAAGAGGCTCTCATCCTATTCAAATCTCCGAATTCAGCAGGATGACCCACTGTTTTGTTTCACTTATGCCTCTTTTTTTGTTTGTTTTTTTTCTTTTTTTGGTACCTGGGATCGACCCTGCACTTGCAAGGCAGGCAGTGGAACCACTGAGCTAAATCCCTTGCCCTATGCATCTTATTTTTGTGGGCTGTGGTTTTGATAGAAGTTTAACTTTCAAAGTCTTTGTGTTTCAGTTTGGTTTGGTTGGTGGGTTAGTTACTTTGCTCTCCTTGCTGAGACAAAACACCTGACACCCAAAGTTAAAGGGGAAGGGGTTTATTTGGCTCATAGTTTGCAGAGATTTCAGTTCTTTGTCAGCTGTCTCTAAGGCAGGGGCAACAGTTCATGGTGGCAGAAAACAGCGAAAGCAACAAAAGACCTTAAGGGCATCTTTCTGCCCTTTTCATCCCTTCCAGACTACTGGGATTAGGGCCGTGCCAAACCAATCACTCATGTGGTTTAGTAATCACATGCCCTTAATCCCAGCATCACACACTCCAGATTCAGCCGCCCCTTAGCACTGCATGAGGCTTGGGGAGACATCTAGACATAGCCATAACAGTTGGTTTATCTGGTGTCACAAGGGCTCCATTGATTCCTGTTGGTTCTGCTGGAGAGAGTGACAGGAATTTCTCCAGGCTGGACCAATGAGTATGAGAGAGAGGCAGAATAACCTTAACCAGGAAAATTACATAATCAGCCTTATATTTTAGGATTGCTCTTTGTTCACTTAATGTTATAATGTAAGCATTATATTGTACTGTATTACTTTTTATGTGAACCCTGAGTAACATCATCTTTAATGGTTCTTATGTTTTTTAACCCCTGTGTTAATCCAGAAGCTATGATATGAGAAGTTAGGACTACTGATGTTCCTGTTTTATTTTTTTTTAAGATGCTCCTTTTCAAGGTGTATCTGTGAGCTCATGTGAGCTGATGTTGTGCTTTGGATGTGGAATGTTCCCCCAAACTCTCGTGCGCTCAGAGGCAGAGCTTTTGGAATGTGGTTGGGTTGTGTGGTACGGTACTCATCACTGCATCCCCCCACTGAGGAGTTCCGCAGCTGAGTGTGCTGTGGGAAGGTTGGGCCTGGTTAGAGGCAGGTCACTGGGGCATGATCTGGAAGGTTATATCTCTCCCCTTCTCTTTCCACTTCCTAACCACCATGATGTGAGCAGCCTTTTGTCCACTGTGCCCTCTGCCATGCAATTTCTGCTTTGGAGCTGGCCAACCATTGCTATAACCAGGAGTCAAAATGAACCCCTTCTCCTTTAAGGTGTGGGTGATGGGTATTGTGTCTCAGGGACTAGGAAAGTAAGCAAGACAGCTGGTGTCTTTCTTTCTCCCTTAACATTTCTGCAAATGTTTTTATGAAAATGACAGTCTCAGGGGCAATTGAGTTCCACTTTTAAGTGTACTAATCCAGCACAGGAATTTGAATTATGAGTACCAGTTTCTCTTTCCAAAATGCTGTGAAATGAGAGTTTATATTTTTGATTATAAGTGACTGAATTTTAAGAACATATGTAAATTAAGTCCATTAAGTGTTATCTACAGACCTTCTTCCAGTGAGCTAATTACATATATAAGCTCCATCCATCTTGAGAACCCTCTCACAAGCATCAGAGGACTCAGAGTCCCCACCCAACACCATGTCACAAACGTCCCTGAACATTGTTTAGCCCTCTCAAATCCATCATCCTAATGTGTAACATCCTTGCTTAGCCTGGGCTTCTGCAATGAGACAGTTTTTCCCTGAAGTAGCAAGGATTTGCTTCACCTGGCTTGTAAAAACCATGGTCCCTTTCTCACTTTTTCAGACTCTAGACTTTTTTTCTAGTTTCAGGAATATCCTTGTTTTAGTTACTTTCCTCTCATTGCTGACACAAAATACCCAACACCCCAAATTAAAAGGGAAAGCATTTCTTTAGCTCACAGTTGGTAGAGGCTTCAGTCCACAGTCGGCTGGCTCCAAGATGGGTGGCACGTGGAGAGGGGCAACAGTTCATGGTGGCAGAAGTCAGCAGAAGGAACAAGGAACTTTCTGCCCCTTTTATTTTATCCAGACTACTGGGATTAGGGTGGTACCAAACCAATCAGTGAACTGTTTTAGCAATCACACACCCTTAATCCCAGCATTGCACACTCTAGATTCAGCCACCTCTGAAAAAGCCACCTATGACTGCATGAGGCTTTGGAGGGGACAGCTAGACCCAAACCCTAACAGCCCCTTTACTGATCTTCACAGACTAGGCCCTAGAACATATTATGGTTTCCAACCCTGGCTCTATTAATTTTGAAGCAGATTGTCTTGAATAAAAACTTCCACCTCCCTCTTTTGGATAAGTGCCCAGTTTCCTTATCCATAAAATGGGAATAAAAGCAGAACCTGCTCCACAGGATGTTATGAAAATTAAATATATATATATATCTCCACCAGATAAAGATCTGATATTTGATCATTTTTGTTCTTATTTCTAAGGCACTTCTGTTCTTCCCCACCAGAATACCATAAGCTCTTTCATGGCTAAAGATACTGGAAATGAAAGTCAGGAAGAAATGAGTATGCTTACCCTTTGCCCAACCACAAACCTTGCCTAAGCTAGAAACCTAGAGCCTACTGCCCACTGGGGAAAATGGAAAGGAAGAAAATTATAAGTCATTATCAGCAAAGATTACCCTGTCAAGCATGGTGGTGATTTTATACTGCATACATTTGTCAAATCTCATAAAATGGTGTCCTTAAAACTGGTGAATTTTATTATATGTAAATTATCCCTCAATAAAGCTGAAAAAAATTATCCTGCTACATGAATAGCACTATATTCAGAGAGGAGAAATAGCTTAGATGTGTTTTTTTTAATGGGGGAAATTATTATTCTAGATTATCTTTACCCCTCCAAATTCCTCCACTATGAGATAAAGACAAAGCATTGAGTCACAAATAAGCCACTGACTTGGGTGGTGAAGGGTGATGTTTGCCTCTCTCTGTATTCAACAAGAAAGAGTAGAAAATGGAATCCTCTGACCCTAAAAAATGTTATTTTTATAGCCTGTAATCATGCACTAATTTAGAGTTAAATATACCTTCATAGACCACCTCATTTGACCATCGCAGTGGCCTGGTATCTGCAAGGCAGGCATTGGGCCTATTTCACGGATGAGATGCTCTGGTCCACAATGAGAAGGGGAATCATTCAAGGTCATACAGATGGGAAGTCCCACGTCCTTGAGCTCTGGTGTTTTTTAGCTGAATGTCATGCTTTATTTACTCCCATCACTGGACACAGTGATCATGTTTTTAGCCCCTGGAATTGGCCACATTTCCCTCTGGGGTCTAACAGTACAAATTCCTATTATGAAATAGGATTCTGTTGGTCCAAGTCTAGAGTGCAGGATGTGCTGTCATCCTGCAGTGAATACCATATTGTTATCATGCTGGCCTCCCAGGAACAGATGGAGAGAAAGTGCAGAATGTTCTTCCTCCTGCTCCTGTTGTCCTGAGCCACATGAATTGTGGTGCAGCAAAGAGAAAATGAAAGGGTACCAGTTTGCCTCTACAGCATCAAATTGCCATCTGGTCTGGAGGGAATGATTTGTTATGTAACCATTGCCACATAGGATTTGTGGCAGCTCCGGAAAGAGCTTTTTGTTTTGCTTTGAGAAGACGGGACAGTTTCAGAAGCAAATTTCACCACCTCTTTGTTTCCTGGCCCACTAATTAAACAACTAATCAATGTCCTCTCTGTATAGGGAAGAAAGCAAGGATTTTCTGGAATTATAGAAAGAAGAACAGAAGATCAAGTGAGGAGGAACTTGATTTCCCTGCAGGAGGGACCCAGCTTAGATCTGCAATGGAAACCTGGAAGCAACCTGGGAAGACTTGAGGTTAATCATGGAGCACTGGAGAAAATTTCCACAGGCAACAACGGAACACAAAGTGCGCAGTCTCCTAGGAGCAGTTTATCAGGGTTTCCATGATTAAGTATGATGGCTGGGTGGCCTAACAACAAAAATGTATTTTAGGGAGATTCTGAAGGCTGGGAGACCAAGGTCAAAGGGTCATTAGAATTCCTTCTGCAGCTTTCCTCCACAGTCTATCAATTTCTGTCTTCTCTTTGTGTCTTCACATGGTCTCCCCTCTGTACATGTTGAGGTCCAAATTTCCTCTAGGCCTTCCTTAATGACCCCATTTTAGCATAATTACCTCTTTAAAATGGTGTGTCCAAATACCATTACATTCTGAGATATTGAAGCTTAGGATTTCGACATACAAACTTGGAGGCAAGAAAGGGAACACAATTCAGAGCATAAAACTCTCTAAATATGTTATCTTTTGTGCTGAAAACCCTCACTCTCAGATCTATTCCTAATTTTTTTCTGTTTCTAATTTTTAACCTGTTTTAGTCTGTGTTGCAGAAAACTACATGCCCAGGTTTCCTTGCCAATTGGCTCTAGGTAGAGAGAAGGGACTGGTGAAATACGAACTAGCAAGAGGAGAGGAGAAACCAGTGCATCTCTTCCTGTTCCTTGAGCAATTGTTCTAAAAAATGGATGATCCCCCTCCACTGCCCTAGCAACTACCAGAAAGCTCCTCCTTCGAGGGCCTCGTTCCCACAGAGAAGCCCTGACACAGTCATAGCCTCAGTAAGATACCTGAGTGCTGAACGATACTGACCTGTCTTCATCCCTTATCTTTCCATCCCTAAGAGTAGAAATAGCTTTCAATCGTTTTGCTTGACTTTTCAGCAATCTATCACCCAACTAACCAATTCAATTTACTTTCCTCTTTTTAACAACTTCAATGTCTTCAGTTTCACTGCTGAACTCTGAATGCTATATCCTTAATCTGAGACAGATGTTTTTCCTAGCAGAAAACAAAAGGCAAAGCTCAGCCTAGAATTTTAAAACACCAAACTGTGCCTACTCTGTGACCATGAAATAAGGAACAAGGGGCCGGGGATTTAGCTCAGTGGCAGTGGTTCCGCCGCCTGCCTCGCAAGAGCAAGGACCCGAGTTTGATCCCTGGTACCAAAAAGAAAAAAAGGAAATAAGGAACAAAATCCACACATTCTGTCTACATATGGAATCCTTTTCTAGGTGAGGAGGTAAATATTAATAAACGTCTTACAACATGCAAAATTATGTGATCCCAAACAAAACACCCAGCAGCCAGTTGCTACTGAGAAAGGTTAATCTTCAGGGTCTGCAGCCTGCATGGAGCCCTTTTAAGGCCCAACTTTTTACCACCATGCAGCTTCAGAACTATCACCAGTTAAAGCCCCCAATGTACTCCTCCCTCCCAGGTGACCCTTCTTCCTCCAAGAGGTAGCCACATTCTGAACTTGATGCTTAGCATTTCCTCATGTTTCTTTACACTTTCCCTTAATACAGCAGAGAGGTACTCTTACCTACCTGCACAAGAATATATTAAAGGGCTGGTGATGTAGCTCAGCAGCACCACACCTGCCTGGAAAACACAAGGTCCTGAGTTTGATCCCTGGTACCAGAAAAAAAAAAAAAAAAGAATACATTAAAGAATATATTTAGGGCTGGGGATTTAGCTCAGTGGTTCTACCACCTGTCTCTCAAGCGCAAGGTCCTGAGTTCGGTCCCCAGTACCCCCCTCCCAAGAATATATTTAGTATTTTAATAAAGAGTAAAAATGCATCTAGTTGCTTTTTTGTCCAAATAGACCTATATTTGGCCCAATGAGGAAGATTTAGATGATTTCAGAAATCCCTAAATATCCAGTAGGTGTTTCATTTTCTAATTTTCAGTTCTAGTGTTTCTTTTGATTCTGCTTTTAAAAATATTTATTGGCACATTTTTTACATACGTAATGATCACATTTATTGATTCTGTTTTTTATAGGTTCATTTTCTTTTAATCTCTTATCTCCTATCTACTTATGACTCTCTTTTTACATTCTTGGGCATATTTATACTAACTTCTTTGTAGTGCTTGTCTAATTTCTTCATCAGAATCAGTACACATCTTTTTCTATTTACTGATTTTTCTCCTGACTATAGATAAAATTTTCCTACTTCTCTGCATGTCCAATAATTCTTTCAGCACATTATTATACATGATACATTGTAGAGGCCAGATTTTGTCTTACTATTCTGAAGAGTTTTGATTTTTGTTTCAGGAGACAGTCCACTAACTAATATTTTTAGTTTGTAGAGGCTAGGTTTTACCTTTTTGCTGTGGATCTGTTTCGATGTTGCCTTTCATTTAAAGGCAAGTCCCTTAGATCAATGATACAGTGAAATTTCAATGGAAAGCTCATGGTATTTACCACGTTAGAAGGACGAACCCATTTAACTCCGTCTCCTCATCAGTAGGCAGAATTGGCGATTCTCCTTAAGCCTTTCTACCTTTCAGCTCTAGCTTTCTGCTGAGTCCCTTTGGGATCCCCCCAATTTGCACATGCAGTTGACTATCAGTGGAGGGTTTGGGGAGAGTTAACATACATATTTAGGGGCCTCCCTCTCCATTCTCGAATATCCTCCTTCTTATCCCAGCTGCTTTAGCAATTCTGAATTCTGTCTTTTAACTTGCCAGGCCAGTGACACTGCACCTTTCTGGTTTGGTTCTATTTATTCATGACACACGGACTAGGAGATACAAAGAGAAAAGCCATATGTATGTGTATTTCATCTGTAACAGTTCTTCTCTTTCAGGCATTAAATCCTTTTGATTTCTGCCTACTTTAGGCACTCTATAGTGACTACAAATATTTTTGTTTTATGTTTGTCCAAAAGCTTATACATATTGTCTGCAGAAGCATTAGCTGATATTTGCTACTGTACCACACCAGATGTTACTTTTTTTACTAATTGAAAACAGGCTTTAAAAATGATCTAACAATAGCTTCTCTTTTTCTCACCTTGGATATGAGGGGCATGTTTGAACTAGCTATTCAAGGAAGGTTAGTTGTTTCAATAACTTGGGAACTGTCTCACACAAAAATACGGTTCATATTTTGCTGGCAAGTAGGACTGCCTTGCAGAAGCTAATACACCCCAGGGGCTCTTTTCATCATCACCCAAACCCTCCACAACCAAGATATTAATTGGGGCAGATTATTTTTCTAAAGTGATTTTATCTTCCACAAAAATTACAGTTATGATAGGATATACTTAAGTAAAATATCCAGTACAATTCTGCATGTAAGCTTCTCAATGACTCATCAAGTAAATCCAGTTTTGCCATAGGTATGAGTATTTCTGTTTCCCATATGAAAATAAAGCACCAAATGCTCAAATTTACTTTTCACAGGTACCTGGATTTTCCTCCAAGGATCGGCAGTTACACATTTATAGACCCTCCAGGAATCTGACCTCATGGCTCCAGTCTCCCACTCACTCTGACCTAACACAGATTCAACTGTGGAAACTCAGTATAGAATAGAGATGAAGGCAGAAGTTCTCTGTTTGAAGTAAATTAAGACCCCAAGAACCTTGTTCACTGACATGTGTACTCCAATAAAAGAGTTTTTCAAGTTCCATCTCAATAGATCTCAGGAGGAGATAGTCTGGAAACCATTCCAGTGCAAGAGAGTCATCAAACTTTTTCTGCAAAGGGCCAGATAGTAAATATTTTTAGGCTTCACGATCCATACAATCTCTGTCACAACTACTCCACTTCATTACTGTAGCACAAAAGCAGGCATGAACAATATATAAATGAAGGGATATGACAGTGATCCAATGCATATTTACTTATAAAAACAAGTGCTGCACTGACTGAATTTGTCCCACAGGCTACAGGATGTTAATGTCTGAAAGGGGAAGGGAATCTTCTTAGAAAGCTTGGGGAACTCCTAGAAAGTCAGCACATGCTCTTTGGAAAGGGGAATGCTAGGTGCTCATCATCACCTAAGAATTTAGTGCTGAGGATTGTGTGGCTGTTATTTGTAACATTCTACTTCATCAATCTGTTAAAGAAATAACCATCAGCATCTGAGAAGCACCATTGCTTACATATAGAAAGTACTCGCTAGAGAGAAGACAGAGTATTAGCTGTGACGATTGGTAAACATCACCCATACTGGCTTTGTAAACACAGGCATTCATCTTCATCTCTCCGAGCCTCTGTCAGCATCTACAAAAGTGTAGATTCCCATCTCTGCTATGCGAATCATAGCTGCTATTTTACAGAATTGTCATGAGGGTTAAAGAATTTTATAATCAGTGCTGAATAGGTCTGCTTCCTTTCTTACCAGGCATAAAAGACAAGGATAAATTCCACTTTTGACAAGTGGAATGAAAAGAACAAAATATGAAAATCCAATTTGCCTAGAGAATTACCCTAGTCATTCCTTTCAAAATGTCAAAATTACTTTAGAGTAGCTCAAATTCTTCTCTATCAGTGGAACATGTAATATGTTCAGTTCAGTACAGCAGAAAAATCTCAAAATTAAGACAAAGGTCCAGGTGACCCTCATTCTTGTTTTACCTCTGTCCTGTGACCTTGCAAGAGACTTTTCTTTGTTCTCAATTCCCTTCATGTGCTCAGTTGTCCAGATGAGGGTAGCTGGACTAGGTTGATGGTTTACAAACTGTCAGAAAACCATCATCAAAGACTCTTGAATTCAAGCAAGCATCAGGCACTATTATCTGGATAAAATACCCTCCTATGGGGTAGGAAAAACTTCACATTATCACTGGCCCTAGAGAGCATGGGCACTGGTGGGTTAGATGACAGATTCCTGCCAGTTCAGACAGCCCATGTTTCAGTGAAACTGTGCAATTCTATCATTTCCATGCACATCACATAAACATAATTACCAACATGACATTGCTATTCAGGAGACATTTATTAGTCACCCGGAGTTCACCCTGTAGAAGCAGATCTGGGATATGGATTCCTTCCTTGGCTGAAAATCAGCTGACGCTGACTCCACTACAGGAAGGCATGGTAATGATGCATGCCATCAATCTTTCCTTCTTGCAGAAGCCACCATGGCCAGTGACGAGCTAACAGGCTACTGTAATGGAGGAACAGATGTGAGACAGGAGCTCAAGAGTTGCCAGAGTTAAGTAATTCAAGTAGGCAAGCTCCCAGCTGCTGCTCTCGAATGGAGAGTAATTTCTAGGAAATAGGAGTTGTTTTCACCCACTGAGCTTCCACTCCATCTTGCTGCAGAGCGCCAATGCTCCATGGAAGTGGAGAGAAGGTAAGTCGTGCTCATTCTGTGAGACTCTGGTGTGGCTAACACCACACCTGGTTTTTAGCCGGAAGGTCTCATGAAACAATTAGAATAAGCTATCTTCCTGTACATGGGGGTAGATTTAGAATTAGGAGCACAAGTCAGATAGATACAATAAGACTTTCTTCCAACATTCGTAATGGAATCATTCAATAAAGATTTATTCCCTTTCCTTTTAGTTGATTTGACTGATAGAATGGAAGCCGTATTAGCCATACTACTACAATCTACACACACATGCACACACACACACACACACGTACACACACTCCTTTCAATTTACAAATACTTACAAATTACTGGAACCCTGAATTCAGCTGTGCCTGAAGCTAACATAGTATGGATTTTTCAATTATGAGACCTGATACACTTATATATTTTTTTTCTTGAGATGGTGTAAATTAGATTTATGTGCCAGGCAACCAAAATAGGCCTGATTGAGTTAGAAATGTCTTGGGGCAAATTATCACATCAAGGCTCTATTGAATAGGCACGCATGCATATTCTTTTGTTCAGTATGCATAATTTTGCCCATTGACTTGTGTCAGAAAACCAGAAATCATTCTTGCCTCTTTTTTTTTTTTTTTGGTACTGGGGATCGAACTCGGGACCTTGCGTTTGCAAGGCAGGCGTCAGAACCACTGAGCTAAATCCCCAGCCCATTCTTGCCTCTTTTTCATCTCCTTCAACTACTCAGATATGTTTATCCAATTGCAAACTCCTACTGATTCTACCCCTTATTTATTTCTTGAACTTCATTTTTTTCCGACCTCATAGTCAGGGCTTGCAAGTCTTCGTGCATCCTCAGTATGGTTATTCCACACCCTCCAAAAGAATCTCCTGAATGTGACTTGATTACACCCAAACCCCAGCCCTGTCCATGCTCTTCTGCCAGAGAAATATTTTATAGTGTAAATATAACTAAACTCCTTAAATGCATCAAACTTTCCATTGTCTTCAGTGTAATCCAAATCCCAGAGCACTGAATGCAAAACTACAGGGTCCAGACCATTCACTGTTCTCCAGCCTTATTTAAAAAAAAATAGCCCTCTGTCCCTCACCTCTCTTTCCTGCTCCCTGCCATTCACAGTTCACTTCTTTGTGCTGAACTACTTGCAGTTTCCCAGAGCAGACAATATTGCCTCTTTCTATTTTTAGAATTAACTGGCTTCAACCAGCAGTATCTTTAGGAACTATATCCTGTGATGTCTGCTCTATCAGAACTCACCATATGCCCACTAGTTGCCAAACACTGTGCTTCCATTAACTACATGCAAATTAGAACAACTGAATTTTGTTCTTCTTTGACACAGCCTCTGCTAGGCCAAATCACTGAAGACTATTTCCAAACGGCATTGTGGACATTAACACAAATGATTAAAGTCAACATGGAAAAAAATGAGTGATTAAAATCTTCAATTTTTCTGATACTTGCTCTAGTCAATTATGTATGAAAATAGCCATATTTGTGGCCTTCACTTCTTAGAATAACAGGTTATACCCAACCCTCATGTTGAACCAAAAATCAAATACAACATGTAAGCAAAATGCTGGACATCAGGTAACAAAGGGTGTAGAGAGACAAGAAAAATGGTGAGTTACAGGACTGACCCAGCATCCTGCCTTTCCAGGTTGTGGCACAGAAAAGGGAAATCGCCTGGAGACTGCTGCATTCACTGAGTTGAGAAGACAGAGCTGAGAGTCTTGGGAGACAGAGGTTGCTAGAGTTCAGAAGACAGGAGAGAGAGCTGTACAGTGAGAGCATCCCAGGGCATGCAGAAGTTCCCTCAATCAATCTGCTGAGTTCTGTGCTTCACACAGAGGTAACATGGCTTTGAAAAGGAAAGAAATTGAAGAAATTACCTAATTTCAAGTCTTATAATAAAGTTCTCATGCACGACAGTGTGGCATTAGCATAAAGGTGAGCAAATACCATAATGGAACAAGAGTAGAATTTATAAACAAGCCCACACATATAGAGACAAGTGAGTTTCAATAAAGATGCAAAACAAATTCAATGGAGAAACCATCGCTTGTTGCACAAATGATGCTGAAACACTTGGATGTCTGTACCTCACACCATATACAGATATTGAATCAAAATAAATATAGCACTAACACTATAAACCTTACAAGTGAAAAGCATAAAATTTCTACAAGAAAACATGGGAGAAAGTCTGATTGAGTTTGAGTTAAGAAGAGTGGTTTCAGACACATCAAAAGCATCATAAAATTGTAAATTAGACTTCAATGAAGTTTAAGACTTTAGCTCTTCAAAAAACAATGTTAAAAGAAAAAAAGAAATGGAATACTACTCTGCTATAAATAAAGATAAACTTGGGTCATTTGTAGGAAATGTGATGTATTTTGAGACCATAATGTTAAGTGAAATAAATCAAACATACAAGCTTAAATATCCCATGGTTTCTTTTATATGAAAAACCTGAAATATAAATAAAGAGCAAAATAAAAGATAGACAATAGGAAGTAGGAAGATAGATCTTTCTCAAATGCAAAGGGGATTAAGAGATAGAGGGATGTAAAGGAGGGAGGGAAAGGGGATGAAAAAAAAGAATTAAGATGTGTTGTGTATATGTACCAACTCCCCACAAGGGATGTGATCACTATATACTGCAAACATGTATCAATAATAACTTTTAAAAATTAATAAATAGAAATCTTTGTCTCCCAACACCATTAGAAGATAGGACTTTGGTTATGGAGATGGAGTCCCTCGAATGGAATTAATCTTTTATAAAAGAAGGCCAAGAGACACCCCTCATTCCTTCTGCCATGTGAGGATACAGATAGAAATCACTTTTAAACCAGAAAGAAGGCTCTCACCAGATAGAAGCTAAATACGCTGGAACTTTGATCTTTGAGTTTCAACCTCCAAAACTGAGAAATTTTTGCTTTTTAATTCATCCAATCTATGGTATTTCTTATAACAGCCTGCATGGACCAAGACATAGCTTAAGTAAATAACAATTGCTCTCTATTTTAAGAAAAGTTAAAGGAGGCTCCACGCTGCCATTCCACCACTCGCTCTTAGGGCAGAGGAGGTGAGCCGCGTGGGCGCCAGCAGCACCACCCCCCACCATGGAAATGAGAAGACACGCAAACAAGCCTCAAAAACAGACTTTCAGATCACCTACTGCAACCCCACAGGGAAATGAGATGGAACAATCTGATACTCAACCACCTGGAC